CGCCATCTGTGAGCTCATCCCGCCACCTGAATCGCTCATCCTCTGCCTCTTGAGCTGCTTTCTCTAGCGCGATCGTCTCTTTGTGGGACCTGTTCTCCTCCAATACGTCCATCAGCTTCCTCCGGTCAACTACTCTCGCAAGATGTCTCAGCAGATCATCGTCTAATTCGTCTTCTGGCTTTAAATGCGGAATGATATCGCCGATTCGATCAACAAGTTGTGCTCTTGCATATCCCCGCAGCAAAACTCCCCATGTGTAGCGGTCAGGTTCAACACCGCTATTTCGCATGAGCTGGGAGACGCGTTCTGCCGCTTGCACTTGTCGTGTTTTGAAGAAAGCTTGCATGAAGATATTCCAGCTGTAAACGTTGGGCTTCGCTGGACCGTCTGTCATGTCTTGAATGAGCTGGGATGCGTTTGCAAATTGCTGTTTCTCACAAAAAGCGAGGAGGAAAGCGTTCCAGATTATTGGGTTTTGAGCCAACGCATCAAATTCTGGATTTCCTTCCTCTACAACCGACTTGAACTTGATGTATAGGTTATAGACTCGCGTATTGCTGATTGCCAACGCTGATCGGATCTCTGTCCGCAGCATAATGTACAACGCCACTGGTGGAGGAGCAAGATACAGGGATCCAAGCGCAGAAGTCTTTTGTGAGATGCTGACGTTCCTTAGGTCTGGAGTTCCGTAGCCGACAAACGACTGCAGCGGCGCTACTGAGAAGTATCTGGCGTAGGACTGCCATAGTATGGCTGAGGTACGTTCGACGTTCTCGTCACCGTGGTGGCGTACATAAAGATAGTAGATATAGTCTGTTGCTAACCAAGGGTCCCGGGTGTCTCCTGCTATGTCAGCACAGTGTTGTGCGAAAGCTTGGAAGAGAGCTGGATCGTTCTGCATGGTACATCCGTGAAGCATTATCGAGAGGGTATGGTTGTCTTCCCGTAGTCCGTTTTCTTCCAAAGAGTTGTATACTTTGAAGGCTGTAGCATAATCTCCAGCTTCCATAGCATTACGCATGACGATATTGTAAAGAAGTATGTCCATCTTGATGCCCAGGCGTACAATAGCAGCGACGACAAGCGGGGTCTGATGGAAGTCTTTACTTTCACTCATACTCCTTCGCAATATGCCAGCGCATGTCCACCGAAGTCTTTTGCGGTCCACCATAACCTCCAAGGGTGTAGCCGTACTTCTAGCTGTGAGCAAGTCAAGACATTTCAACGCATACTGCACTTCGCCAGCCTTGCCAAACGCTGTTGCATAATGCAGCACAGTGTCAAACTCTAGGCCCACCCGATGTTGCACAAGGCAATCAAATACCTTCTTCAAATCTTTCGTTGTGGCTAGCTCTACCAAGTTGTACAACAAATTCTGAGAACAAACACCGATCTGACCAGCTAACGACTTTTCGAAGAGGTGCACGAATGCACTGACAAACCGGCGCTTGTGTGCATCTGGGTCGGCACCCCAACTCTTGTTATCGTGCAATCCTTGAGTATGGAGCTGAGCGAGATGGTCGAGAGCATCGGCGATTACTCCAGTCTTTCGACCCCGCTGGAGTGGATCGTTGGCCAGAACTTTTACGAAATGCAAAGCACGGCAAGGCTTACGATCGAGGAGATAGATGAGCACCCGATGGGCGTAAGCTTTCCGTATCGAGATATCAAGTGCTAGCCATTTCAGCCATACTTGGTGTGTACTCGGAGAAACCCCGTGAGTCCCGGCTGTAAAGAGTGTCCAACTCAACCGCGCACATCGAGGATCATGTTTGATAGTAACTCTGCGCGTGAACTTTCGTAAGGAGGGATAGAGCGGTCGATCCAGTGCTGCAAATGCGTAATGAAGCCCGACTTCTTTAGCTGACCCTTCAGATGCCCTCGTCAGGTCTAGATGTGTCAATCCCCAGCGCTTGAGATTCGTTATGCGGCGCGTTAGGGATCTGTATTGGCCTTGGGTCTTGCGGTCAAAGGAGGACCCCTCGATCTGGGAAGGCAACGTGGACATGTAGTAATCGAGACGCGCGTATTCCACAGAGAGGGCCTTCTCCCGTTCTTGGCGTCGCGAGGACTTGGCTTTTTCTGGTATGGCCTTCGTTCGTTCTAGGCGCCGCGAGGACTTGACTTTCTTTGGTATGTTTTGATTGTTGGATGCGATGGTTGCGTATGATCGGGCATGTTGGCGAGTAAAGGTCGATATTTCAGCATAGAGCCGGTTGACAGAAGCGGAGTGGCCCGTTCCTCTCATCCAATAACCAGACGTTCGTAGAAAGCCCGTTGCAGATGCGTCGTGCATCGGTTGCTTGCGACATGTTGTCCCAGTCGCCTTTCTAGTTTCTGGTTTGCCATCTCTAGGTTGCACTCTGGTGCCTCCCTCTACATGTTTTGCTGTTCCTGTTCCCTTCTCTTTCTCCGGTGTTGCATCGCTTCGCCGGCGGTGCTGCCTGCTCCTTCTCGGTATAGCTGACTCTGCAAAGACTCTCGGCGCGAGGAACGGAAGGATGGGAAGGTCCGCGCTGGCGATGAGGCTAGCATTGGGGACGCGGAAGCGGGGCATGAGAAGGTGAAGGCTGTGTGGACCTCATCGAGACATGACTTGTTGTCTCGAATGGGAGCTGGTGGCGGTAACACGAAAACCTGAGAAAGTGCGTACTTGGTCAGGAACGCCAACCGGGGAAGATCTTGGACTCCCGAGCTGTTCTCCGCAACGCTCGTGAACACGACCACAACTTCAGCCATCCCCCATCCCCCATCGCAGCCTTGATCCCCTGCGCATCATCACACAAGGCTTCTTGCGAAAGAAGACCACGCCACAGCCAAGCTTTCGGCAGCCCCCGGCTCTACATACAGCCATATTTGGACCCGGCGCAAGCGCAAAGCTCTCACCATGTCTTCACACGAAAAGCTATCGGCAGCCGCCAACGACCGGAAGTCACGCCTTGCACAGCTCAAGTCGCTCAAGCGGAAACAAGAGCAAATCTCAGACGCGCCAGAAGCTGCCGACTCGCCATCCACCCAGCTCCAGACCGAGACATCGCAGGCTCTTACACGCACAGACGAGGAGGAGCCTTCAGTAGCAGCGACCTACCTCTCGGGCCGAAACTACGATGCGACGACGCGGAACGTCAAGCTGGGCTTCGACAACCTTCCCATCGCTGACCCCACGAATACTTTGGAATACAAGGCAGAGCAATTAGCGCTGGAAACAAAGGCACAACAGGACGCAGAGAAGGCAGAAGACAAGGGACTAGATCTCTTCAAGTTACAGCCCAAGAAGCCAAACTGGGACCTGAAGAGGGACCTGGAGCACAAGATGAAGGGACTGAATGTACAAACAGACAACGCCATCGCAAAGCTGGTCCGAGAAAGAGTGGAAGCGCAGAAGGCTATAAGAGAGAAGCAACCGACAGACGGAAGCAACGGAGAAGAGGTGGGCATGGACGGCAGTGAGTTGGTCGAGGCCATGCACCTGAAGGAGCAAGAAGACGAGCGAGAAAGGAAAAGGGACGAGGAGGACGAGGACGTGAGCTGAGAGGGCATGGCTAACATTGGATGGATTTTGAAATAAGAGGCAGAAACCTTCATCTCAGCTTATGCACTCCTGAGGCTTGTATCTGCTTCAGGGACGTAGACATGGAAGCACCAACATGTACGCCAACCAAAGAGGGCAGGAGCATGACATAACACGCAAATCGAACCACGGGAGAGCAGAACCGGATCTTCGGGGAGTATTTAGGACCTAAGGTCACGATGAAACCACAATTATTGCCTACTCTTTACTACCTATCTCGACGTCAAAGAAGTTCGACCATGCGAAACAGCATCTGCGGGAAGACCAAAGAATAACAAGTACGCCTATTTTCGGCCTAATGATTTTCTTTCGAAAGAAACAAAAAACATACAACAGCGGGGATTCGCCAGTGGTCACCCACCTGACTACTAATCCGCCGGTATCTTGCTTAACTAGGGCTGAGCGAACGGGAAGCCGTGGTCTCAAGATCCTGTGGTCGTATGTGCTTGTGCAAGAGAAATATAATAATCATATTGACTAGAAAAATTCCGAACTTCTCTCCAGTAAGACCACATCGGCCGGTAAAGATGACCTCGGGAGTTTCCGACTGCGGGTACGGATCTTTGAGAAATGTAATTCAATCTAGAAGGCTCCCGAGGTTACTCACCTCGTATTGAATTGACTCCTGCCTTTTGATGAGAGCAATATCAAAGGACATGGTAGGGCACTATACATACTCCAAGCACTAGTTCTGCGTGAAGACGTGATTGATTCCACCAAGATCGTTGTGAAGCCAAGTTATTGTACTTTGCGTGTATCTGACATATATGCTTGTATTCATGTGCTAAGATGATCAGGGTGAGTGAAGTGCTACGTAGATAGCGTATTGTAAGGCCAAACGAGTCGAGACATTTCTCTGAATTTAAGGCGTACTGCCGACTACCGTCGTGCAAGTTTAGTCCAAGTTGTTGTTTGTGTTGTTCTACATGTATCGCATAGAGGTCTAGCCATCAGTCTGTTCAGCAAGTGCCTGACTAGATTATGGAGTGTCAGTGTCGCATGTACTACACAACTCTGCTTTCTGCGCCATACTCAGCGTAAGCCGAACCACAGTGGCTCGTTACTTACACAACAGGCCATCTCTTCTAGCTTACATACCGAGGAGTTTGCTGAGACTGCATGATGGTTGTCTGGTGTCAGATGCGTCGTGTTGCAGGCTTCCCCACGCGGAGGATCCGGCTATTCTGACCCGCCTTGCCGTTCACGAATCGCACCTCGGCATCTCCACACGCCAAAGGTGCTGCAGGTGCGGGGACAACCGTCGCGCTACATACATTATCATGGAGCGCGTCTCTCGGTGGTCCAGCATACTCATCTACCAAGAGCCAACATAGCTGCAACGCGCTACTCTTTCCTTTCAATCCTACTTGCGCTCCTTCACTGCTAGAGCTTCTACACACCTTGCCCTTCCTACCTCACAACCGCCATCATGGTCGGCAAGAAGCAGCCCGTCTACGTCCTCGGCGTGGGCATGACCAAGTTCATTAAACCTCGTGGCAAGGTGGACTATCCCGAACTCGGGTTTGAAGCAGGTGTCAAAGCCATGCTCGACGCGCACATCAACTACGACGACGTCGACCAAGGTATCGCATGCTACTGCTATGGCGACTCAACTTGCGGTCAGCGCGTCTTCTACCAGTTTGGCATGACTGGCATTCCAGTATACAATGTCAACAACAACTGCTCGACTGGCTCAACAGGCCTGTACATGGGACGAAACATGATTGCGCATGGAGCGGCCGACTGCGTCTTGGTCGGTAAGTGTCCCTGTACAAACTGTATGTGAGGCAGGCACTGACTGCGCACACCCATATATAGTGGGCTTTGAGAAGATGTTCCCAGGGTCGCTGCAGACCTTCTTCCAAGATCGCGCAAACCCGACAGGCACGTCAAGTTTAATGATGAAAGAGACGAGAGGCATTACCAAGGCCCCTGGTGCCGCCCAGATGTTCGGAAACGCTGGACGGGAGCACATGGAGAAGTGAGTTCAGACATGCGCCACACGTACAAGTCACATCCAAACCATTCTGACCGCTTCCATAGATACGGCTCTGAACTCAAAGACTTTGCAGAAATCGGTCGCATCAACCACGCGCACTCCAAGAACAACCCCTACTCGCAATTCCAAGACGAATACACCCTCGAACAAGTCATGAATGCACCCATGATTCACGAACCCCTCACAAAGCTTCAATGCTGCCCGACCTCGGATGGAGCTGCTGCCACAGTCCTTGTCTCGCAGGAGTTTCTCGACAAGCGTCCCGAGCTCAAGGACCAGGCTATCCTAATTGCTGGACAAAGACTCGCAACCGACACACCGTCACTGTTCAACCGAAGCGCAATTGAACTAGTAGGATACAGCATGAGTGAATTGGCTGCCCGTGAAGCACTCGAGGAGGCCAGCGTATCGCCAGACGATGTCAAGGTGTGCGAACTCCACGACTGCTTCTCTGCCAACGAGATGGTTACCATCGAAGCCCTCGGCTTGGCTCCCAAAGGAAAAGCCCATGAGCTGATCCGCAAGGGCGGCATAACCTATGGTGGAAAGGTTGTCATTAACCCCTCTGGCGGCCTGATCTCCAAGGGCCATCCTCTAGGTGCCACGGGTCTCGCCCAATGCGCAGAATTGGTTTGGCACATGCGCGGCTGGGCTAACAATCGCTCAGTCAAGGACACCAAGGTGGCTTTACAACACAACCTGGGTCTCGGGGGCGCGGTAGTCTGCACAGTCTACAAGAGGCACGATGGAAGCGCTGCGACGGATAAGTCAGATGAGCAGATTGGCAAGATTACAGGACTAGGATACAATCCAGCGACTGTCGCGAAGGGCTTCACAAAGGAGCAGGTTGAAGCTGTCAGGAGCAAGAAGGCGAGGAGTCAATGGGCATTACAAGATACAGAACAAAAGGTTGAGGCTAGGTTTTAGGTGTGCATGTGGTTGTAACAGCGACGACCGTTGTGTGTACAATTCTTGATCATTTCCATTGCACTCAATATGAATTGCGCTCCAGCTTCTCTTTCCAATCCGTTTCTAATAAATCGTGCGAGTCTTGGCAGCCCTTTTTGTAGCTCCGTGCTAGAATGGTACTGAGTATCTTTACATCGCTTGTCTGAGAAGTCATAGAAACATCACTCACCCACAAGTCACGAAGCGGAAGGAATGGCGAAATATGTCTAGAATGATTATCATGGACTGGTATGTCGATTAAGCTTTGAACCTTCAGCTTGCCATGAGCAAAAGAGCCTTGCAGTTTTGGTGACGCTTTTGAGTGGATGCCACTCCGCTGTAGGATGCAAGACAAGGTAAGGAAATTGTACAGTAGAGTAGAGTAGTAAGCAACTTCATTCAGGCCCGCTTGATTAGCCATCCGTGGGCTGCCATGTTAATTATGTCCAATCTCTGCTCAAAACTCGGGATCCTCCATGATGATTCCAAAGCTGCGACGGCGACAAATCAGAATAGTATCTAAATTTCTGCCAGTTTGGGGAGACGAATGATTTCTCATTGTTCCGCGTCCATCTCTCTCAGTAGCGGAAGCATTCTAGGCACCGCTTGCCACACCACGTATATTGATACCGCCTCCTCCGCTTCGCTCAGCGGAGCCGCGGATGTTAATGCCTTCTTGGCTTCGGTTTCGTCCTTGACCGCGAATGTTGATGTCGCCGTCGCGCGTGATACGATCTGCCAGACCGCGACGAGACCGTGATGGCTCCGAGAAGTCGGTAACATGAGGATCACGGTCGTCACCTTTTAGGCGGCCAAACAACTCTTCGGGCTCATCATCATCGCGTGTAATCCTGTCAGCTAGCGATCGCTTCGGCTGCGGTAGCACGGGCTGTCCGTTCTTGGTCATGCGCGAAAGTAGCGATTCCCCGCCTCCTCGTGTCTTGGATACGTCTATAGCGTTTGACCGATGGTGGTTGCCCATTGGTGAAGTGTCAACAAAGAAAGCGTCCTTCTGCCAACGTCCGCCAGCTGTAGGGCCATTCTGACGATCGTAGTTGGCACGGTCGTGCGTCCAACGATCCAGGCTGGGTTCGCGACGACGGCGGTTGTTACGGCTACGACTTCGGCTGCGGTACCGCCGACGGCCTGCGTGCGTTTCGTGCTCGGCAAACCCGAATCGGCCGTCGCCTTCTTCATCAGAGGCTGGGGAAGCACTGCGTCCTCGCAGGCGACCAAAGCGTGGCTCTGCCGGACTGGGACTGTTAGCCTGCTGGTCAGCCATGGAAGGAAATGTGCTGACGTACCTTCTTGAGCCTGGTCGGTACGAGTCGACGTCTTGGCCCTGGGCATCGTTCCTGAGCCTGCCTGAAGCTGGTTGACGGCCCCCCCTGCCGCGACCCCGGTTGTCTCGCCCGTCGCGATCATCGCGAAAGTCTCGTCCGTTCCGGCGCGGGCCCCTCTGGTCAAGGCCTGAATCGCCCATGGACTCATCTCCACTATTTCTCCGCCTTGGTCGCTCACCAGATGCCATTTCTTCATCGCCGTAATCCAGAAAGTCTTTCTTTGGAGGAGGCTTTCGCCGTGGCTCCCTCTGGCGGTTGCCGGCGACATCGGGGTTGCGCTGGTAGTAGTTGCTCCTAGTGGCCGCGCCCCTCGGCTTCTGATCCCCGGCGTTGGACTGCCTGACCATGAGCACGCTGTCCGGCTTCTTCGAGTACGGTTTCGCCTTCCGGGGCTCTTGCATGGAGACGTTGCTGAAGTCACCGTTGTCGGGGTGTGTGAGGATGGTCAGGGCAAGCGTCGCGTCTTCTTTGCTGTAGAACTCGAGGTTGACCGAGTTGTCGTTGACCCAGCGCAGCTGCTTGACGCGCGGGTCTGACTGACAATGCTCCATAGCCCAGTAGAGCGGATCGTTGGGGTCGAAGTCGCTCACGCCCTGGAGGTTGAGGGATTCCGGCCATGGCTCGTGTACAATAATGTCCTCGGTGTAGGCCGCGGGAACACTTCGCTCTGCTTCGGCCGCGTTGTTCTGCCGTGCGCATGTCAGTCAACTGCGCTCTTTGTTGTGCAGCCTTGCGCATTGCTCACTTGGACAACCTGCTGTGGTTGCGACGCTTGTGCCGCCGGTGCTATGTCTTCGCCTACATCAATGTCAATATCGTAGGCGACATCGGTCATGTCAGTGTCATCCATGGCGGCGAAGTTTAACAAAGAGGTTTTGGCAATTGGGCGACGTTGTTGGTGCAACTTCGAGAGCAGCGCGCGCCGCTGGTAAGCTCCAAAGCGCGGGCACTAACGTGATCACGTGCAGGACTGGAGTGCCCGACAACACGACTGTGCGCGATTGTCCTTCGTCACTAACAATCGTTTATACATCAAAATCACGCCCAATGGTCACGGCATACGTGGAAGCCAGTGCATGCGTCCGAGACATACATCATCTTTCAAAACCAGCTACTAACTCACAACTACTGCTCCTCTAGCGTAAAAGTGCCAGTCTTCGTAATCAGATACTCGTTCACAGCGACATCCTTCCCAGACTCCTTGCCATAGCCAGATTGCTTGATGCCCCCAAATGGCGACTCTGCGGCGGAAGAGTTGCCCTAGAATGCATTAGTACATTAACGCAATGCCTTCGCGCCTGACTTACGGTATTCAGGCCAATCATGCCAGCCTCCAGATTCTCGAATAGTCTCCACGTACGATCAACGTTCTTTGTGAAGCAGTAGGAAGCAAGACCCATGCTGGTATCATTGGCCTCCCTCACCGCTTCGTCTTCAGTATCAAACCTGATGAATGTGCTAATCGGGGCAAAAGCCTCTTCATTGGCAATATCCATGTCTGAGGTAACGCCGGTAATGACAGTAGGCTCGAAGAAGTAGCCGCCATCTTTCTTGATCTTGTTTCCACCCGTGTGGATTTTCGCGCCTTTTTTCTTCGCATCTTCAACAAGCGCGAGCGCTTTTTCGACGCCTCTTGGGGTCGTCACTGGTCCCATCGTGGTCTTCTCATCTGAACCGTGGCCGACAACGATCTTTTGCGTCTCTTCATTCCAGCGTTCAAGGAACTTGTCGAAAATACCAGATTGAACGTATATTCGGTTCGCAGTGATACAAGCTTGACCCGCGTGTCGATATTTCAGTGCGAAGATCTGGGTCATAGCCTGTTCAATGTTTGCATCGTCAAATATCAGAACAGGACAGTTGCCTCCCAGCTCCAGTGTAACTTTCTTCAGATTATCGGCACACATCTTAGCAACTAGCTTGCCAACGCGTGTAGAGCCTGTAAAGGTGACTTTACTGACAAGTGGATGCCGACAGAGTGCTTCACTGAGTTCTGGTGTCTTATCAAGATCAGTAGTCAGGACATTCAAAGCTCCCTTGGGGAACCCAGCTTCTTGCGCGAGATACGCAAGCGTGAGTATAGTGATTGGTGTCTCTGGGCTGGGCTTTACGATCATTGTACAGCCCGCAGCCAATGCGGCACCAGCTTTGCGAAGAACCATCGCGATGGGAAAGTTCCATGGTACCAACGCAGCAGCAACGCCGAGTGGCTGCTTGATTGTGAAGATGCGTCTGTTTGGTAGTGCAGGAGTGAAAACACTGCCCTGTATACGTTCTGCTTCTCCAGCAAACCACCATGTGAAGCCCGTCGAATAGTCAATCTCTCCATACGCCTCAGATATGGGTTTACCGGTTTCGTACACAAGGATAGTCGCTATATCATCCCTGTTCTCTTTGATGAGAGCGTCCCATCGGTAGAGCATCTGCGCCCGTTGTCGAGGGCTGATCTTCTTGTAATTCTTGAAACACTCGTGTGAGCTTTTGACAGCATTGTCTACATCTGATGCATCGTTTGTAGGACACTCGATCCACGGCTTTCCAGTTCCAGGGTCTATCGGCTTGTCAGATCGGGGTCTTCAAATGCGCTCCAGCGACAGACCAATTACTTCAAATGTCTTTCCTGATTTCGCTCGTACCCAGCTACCATCCACAAAGGATAGGTTGTGTAGCAAATTTGGATTTTTGAGCTTGAACGTATCAGTACAATACGAGAAACCATTGAGTAGTCTGTACACACCTTAAACGGGAGCTGATGTTTGCTGTCCACAGCCATGTTGCTATTGGTCAGAGTCTTGTCTGCGTATTCTATAGGCCTAGAAACTGGTCGTATCGAGAGATACGTATCGGCAGCCGAAGATAATCAGCGCAAAGCAGTGTGCTCTAGTAACGAGGAGTCGTGATGTTCGAGCGGAGGGCGCGTCGATTCCGCGATCATCAACAAAGGCATCTGCAGACACCAAAAGCTTCCCCACCTTTCATCATATAGCCTACATGACCGATTTGTTGATTAGCTGTTACATTCGGCTATTCCAATAAAGGTGATCCGGAGGGACGCCAGAGACGCTGGACACAGAGGAGCTATCGGGGTAGATGACTTCCAATTGGTTCAAATCTCGGTGGTCCTCCAAAACGATGTCAACATCATGCGGGGCATCACGCTTACCCCTCACTGTTGTGCTGTGCTGGAACCTTGGAAACGACTAGTCGGCAGACTGTGATTGGAGATGCGATACCGGTGGCAGACAGCAGGGTGCATGAAATGGTGGGCAAGACCGTACTGTCCTTCTCGCAGTCACAACATCAACACCGTTGCTGCCTATCCGACAATCGACATTGGCGCTGGTAGTTCGAAATCGTGGTCGATTAAACATAACTCATTGTGAATCGCAGGCGCCAGAGCTCTCGTCATGGGCAGACTAGACGGCAAAGTCGCCATCGTAACTGGTACATCGCATACTCTGTCTTGTCTCTCATAGCTCACTAACAACCTCAACAGGTGGCGGCTCAGGCTTCGGCGCTGGTATTTCAAAAGGAATGGCGTCCGAAGGAGCCAAAGTCCTTGTCTGCGACATCAATAAATCTGGTGGGGAAGCAACTGCAGCAACAAATCCCTCCTCCCTTGCTTTTCACCAAATGGATGTTACCAAAACCTCAGACTGGAAAGCCACCATCTCAGCCTGTATCGAGAGATTTGGCCGCTGTGATATTCTCGTGAACAACGCAGGTTGGAGTTATACTAACAAACCTACCACGACTGTCACCGAAGACGAATTCGAAAAGGTCTTTGACGTCAACGTTAAAGGTGTATATCTGGGCTGCAATGCTTGGGTAGATCAAGCCATTGAGCGTAAAGAAGGGGGTGTGATCATCAATATTGCCAGTGTTGGGGCTACGCGGCCAAGACCAGGATTGGTGTGGTACAATGCGAGTAAAGGCGCGATATGGAACGTGAGTCATGTCTTCTTATAGTGGCTCCAATCTGCATGAGTGTTCTATTTACTCACATTCCATTCAGGCGACAAAAGGACTTGCAGCAGAATACGGTCCACATCAGATCCGCGTCGTATCCATTTGCCCCCTCGTTACAGGAACAGGTCTCTTCTCTGCTTTTACCGGAATGGAAGATACGCCGGAAAACAGGACGAAGTTTACGTCTAATGTACCTATGGGCAGGATTGGGGAAGTAGACGATGTGGTGAATGCATGTATATTCATGGCAAGTAAGGAGGCAGGGTTCATCACTGGGGTCAATCTCGAAGTGGATGGTGGGCGGTGTATCTAATCTACCCTTGCTACAAAAGCTAGTTCAGAAAAATCATTATGACAGACTTCCGCCCTGAATGAAGCTTTTGAATGCCGTCACACCCCATCTACTCGATCCTAGCCGTGCATATGCACATCCTCATCCTCTCCATAATCCCATGCTTCGTCTGTCTCAAGCAATTCGTCAATCTCCTTCCTCCTTCTGACTTCCTCGCTATCTTCATCAATCCCATCGATCAACGCATCTTGCACAAACGCACCCGTCCTATCCTCCTTACTCATCGCAATCTCCCTATCAACATCCACAGCCCAACCTTCCCAGACCGCACCTCTCTGGGTCTCCTTCATCCTCCCCCTACTAGCCCTCCACCTCTTCGTCAATTCCCACTCTCTCGCTGCCGGCGATCCCGTCTTCATAAGATCATAAGCCTGTCTCACCCTCTCGTAAACAGCACGATGTGAGACTGAAGTATCTCTCTTCGGTGCTATGTAGCTCTCCAATACTTTGTACTTGCCTTTTCGCACCCTATCCTGCGCATTGATCCACACACCCAAAGGTAAGAAGACGGCGCGACTAAGAGTGATTTTACCGCTTAGAGGGTGCGTATATCCGAGTAGAAAAGCATCTGTTTCGGCACAGCCACTGTTGCCTAGTTTCATTCCGCCTGGACCAATGGTGTTAGAGGGGATGAGGATTCTGGGCAAAAAGATCTGAACTGGGATGCCATTATGAGAGGTGGTAAAAGGCGAGGTGGCTAGCAAGCTTGGTGCTAGGGACGAAAGTGGAGAGGGCGGTGGTCGAAGTGTGAGTGGGGATGGAGTGATACGCTGCATACTGGCGTGGGGAGGGAGCGAACAGGGAAAATCAAGTAAAGAGAGCGTACGAGAGCACTGTTGACGCTCTTGGGCTGATCTGTACTGACTACCTGGGCTGTTAGGACCTGTCATGTCTGGTTCTCGTAGTAATGTCGGCCCAGTATTACGAAGTCCCTGATGAAGGCTAGTAGCATGGCCCAGGGCTAGAAGGCGCTGCGCGAAATTTGGTGGTGGCGCAGGAGTAGAGAATTCAGATCCAACCGGATAAGACGGTGATGTCTGAATTCGTTGAGGCAGATTTGAGCTGTAAGTATCAGATTGAGGTTTAGTAGAGGGGTAGGCCGCCGGCGCCGGCGGTGGAGGTCCGGGCGGAGGGGGCATGTTTCCAGAGATAAAAGGACCATCGTGTTCAAATCCGGGTGGTGGTGGCACAGTTATGTTTGAAGATCGAGGACCTTGCACACTTATCTGTCCACCCAGGACATTTTGTTGAATTCTAGCACTGTTCGCAGCCATAATTTCCTGGTACGACACTCTGGGGGGAGCAGGACCAGAGGTAGACGGACCACTGTGCCCGGATGGATATTGTTGCTGCAAGAAAAACGAAGGATTGAAGTCAAAAGAGCTTCGAGGTTGACTGGACATCATTACTGGAGGTGGACGCGATGGCGGTGGTAGATTTGGAAGAGGGACCGTTGAGACCGGCGGTAGTACTGGTCTAGGTAGTGTACACAATCCGTCCCTGGAGGCACTGATGTCATCATTTGAGTCTCCATCGGTGCTCCCATTGCCTTCATCTTCGTTCTTCGACCCATGGCCATCAGTATCGACAGAAGAAGGTGGGCTTGCTAACCGCCCATCAGGCCCGCATATCTCTAGTAAGGCTGCTCTGTCCATTGCGCCTTTGAAAAGCAGGCTTTTCATCTTACCCACAAGTGGTACAGGAACGATGTTGATCTTCTGGTTTCTCTCATCCTTAGTCTGCTGAATCTCACGTGATATTTGGCCAGCTATGTCCAGACTGTGAATGGTTGGGGGCATGATAGGGATGAGAGGCACACCAGACGAACCTGCGGAAATAGTGCTGTGAGCAGCAAGCTGAGCCTCGTGTGCCAACTTGTTGCTGATGGCAATTTCCATCTGCTTTACTCTCTGTTTCTCTTTGGCTGACTGAATCATCTGCGCAAGGTTCGCATCTTTCTCGTAGTTTCCGAGGCCATGTGCTCCCTCGCGCGATGGCGTGTGTTTCAGACTCATTGTCTGACACCTCTTGTAATCTTTCAACTGTTGCGGAGTAATCCCAGCTTCCATGAGCAGGTAAAGGGCGCGTTGGCGTGATTTGAAGCAAGCAGCGTGGTACTTCGCTCGTTTGACCCGGTCCCGAGGAATATTGATAAGAGGCGGCAGAGGCTCGTTGAGCTTCGGAGGCTGTATGCCGAAATGTACTTCGTGATACTGTAGACGCTCACTTTCTTCCAACTTACGCTCAAATGTCGCCAAATCGGGCTTCTGACGCATCTTCTTGGTGGGCGAATTTTGAGCGAGCTCTTCTGCGTTGGCGTGTTTTGGTGTCTTAATTTCTGTTCCATATTCCTTCCCGTCTCTTGTGATACTGTTTGCCTCGTCAAATTTCTTTTTAACGTCCTCAGGAACAAGAATCGGATGATATTCAAAGTCCCATAAGCTTGGAATTTCTCCATACAGAGCCGCGTTCAAGGCCTTTCCATCTCCCTCGTAGAAGTCGATCCATCGGTATAGAAACTCGATGAAATTTGGCACCACAGTGCTGTTGACCTGGACGATGTCGACCAATATACGCAGCATATCCTCCTGATGCATCAGCTCGGGATCGATTCTGCGAACTTGGGCGGTTATTGGGGGCGCGCCACGACCTAAAGATGGCTGCATAGTAGGACTGTTCGGCTGTCTCGGATCGATACGAGGCTTCTTGGGTGAGTGTGGTGCTACGGCTGGTTGGCGAGTAGCGGTTTCATCAACCTGCCATTGCACGCACCACGTCCACAGCTCTTTGCCCGTCTCCAGTGACTTGCGCTCTGTGAAGTCCTGTAGAAGCGCCATGAAGATGTCATGGTTCGTGTCCATGCGGTAGACGATGGCGTGTTGCTTGTACTGCTCATAAGGCACGAGTGTGGGCAGCGGCTCAACGTTGCCAATGACATCCTGCAATTCCAGGTAGCGGTCGTCGAACAGATCGAGGACCTTGCCATGAGATGCCATGTTTGCGCAGGCATGTGCGGTGTTGTTGGAGACGAAATTATGACTGACTTGATGTTGTTAGGTGGGAGGAGGGCTAGGCAGACGCGTAGTGTGGCCATGCAAACGCAAACGAACAATAGGAACAGATAGTGCGGAGACGTGAACCTTTGCGGATCCAATTGCAAGCCCCAGATATTTGTACAGTCGCAGGAAGGGTATCGTCGCAGCCGTGCTATCGCGCCACCTTCACATGCTTCTAATCTACACGCGCGCGGGCAAACGCTTACTTGCTGCCCTCCCTGATCTTCTGCAGTATGGCGCTTGCCCTGTCCTCGGCCTCTTCGCGTACTCTCCTCCAATCTGTCGTGTACACCTTCTTCACGCCCTCCTCGAGGCTCCTGTTCCACCTGTCCTTGGCCATTTCAGCTAGACCAACCGGCACTTCCCGACTTGTGGGCTCTGGCTCCGGCTTCTTGGGCTCGTAGAACTCGGTAAGGACTTGGCGTTGCTGTCTTAGGAGCGCGGCCTGTGTTATGCGGTTTTGTGTGTGCAGCGAGATGGTGAGGTAGAGAACGCCCGTAGTGAGGGTGACGCCCCCGAGCTGTCTTGGGTTAGCCGGCATCACTGCAAGGGGCCGGTAGCACCTACGAAGCCGGTGATGAAGCCCATGGCTGCGCTGGACCAAGGTTGACGTGTGCGCGAGGTTACGATGCTCTCTTGCTAGATGCGTCGAGGGCCAATGGCTTCGCAGGTGGATGCACTGCCCTGTCTCACTATCTCTCTATGGATGCGAAGGGCCGTCTTGGGGGTGGATGCGAGGATGTCTAGATGGTGGAAAGTTGACTCGGGTGTGAGGTCAGCGCTGAAATCGCGCCATGCCCTCCCTCCACCGCTGCCAGGGATTCTCTTGTCCCAAAGTGGTAACATCCCAGCAGCCGTCGAACGCAGCTAGCGCCGGCGCGCCCGACTCCACCACACACCTGCACGGAGTAAACACATGTTGTGGGCAATCACGGTGTGCTGTGGGGACATTGTAGAGAGTTGAGTCAGAATGTAATTTTGCCTGTCTTTTCCTCCCTTGTCTGCATCATCCGCTCCTTCTCGTCCAACATGATGCTCTACGACCCGCCAATGATATCCGCTGTCCTGGTCGGTTTTCCGTCACCTCCACTCCCGTCCGAGCCTGCACCACCATCTCGGTACTGCTCAAGTGACGGCGTATCGGCATAGCACGACTTCATGAAGCTCTCAGGGTAGCGTCCACCACTAACCTCCACCTCTAAATGGGGGCGCACAAAGTCAGCCTATGTCTCACATGCAGTCCGCACAGGCACACTTACCTTCACATGACTTGCGAATCTTTTGTTCCTCCTCTTTACTCACTTCAACCTTCAAACTTCCCACATTCTCTTCCAGGCGTGCAGCCTTAGTCGTGCCTGGGATAGGGAAAATGTCTTCACCCTGCGCCATCAACCACGCCAAAGTCAATTGGCTGGGAGTGACGCCTTTGGCCTTTGCGACCTCGGTGATCTGCTCCACAAGCTTGAGGTTCTTGGGAAAGTTCTCAGCACTGAAACGAGGCGCGAATCGACGGAAATCGCTTTCTTCAAAGTCCTCTGGGCCCTTGAGGGCACCACTCAGCATACCGCGGTTTAGAGGCGAGTAGGCAACCACGGCCACACCTAGCTCACGGCATGTCTTCAGTAGGTCGATTTGCTTGCTCTCAATTTCCAGGGCAAAAGGAGAGTATTCAACCTGTACAGCAGAGATAGGATGAACTTTGTGCGCTCTTCGCAACGTCTCGGCGCTGACTTCTGAAAGACCAAGGTACTTTACTTTCTTGAGATTGACAAGGTCAGCCATGGCTTGCACAGTGAGTTCGATGGGTGTCTTCTGGTCAACACGGTGGCAGTAGTAAAGATCGATCTGTTCAATCCCGAGCCGTTGCAGAGACTTCTCGACGGCCTCCTTGACGTATTCTGGAGAAGAGTCGATCTCGGCGCCCATGTTCTTGACCGCGAATTTGGTTGCTAGGAAGATATCATTGCGCTTGTCGGGGTTGGCCTTGAACCACTTCCCAATCAAGTCTTCGTTGTCGCCGTACCTAAAGCACTTGTAAGCTGTTGCTGGGCCTGCAATTGCGACCATCGTACATGTCTGAAGAGTCCCAGAAACGTTCGCCTAGCTCATGAGCTCTGTCAAGCAGCGCTAGACGCTCAGAGTCGGGTTTGGGCTGACCATAGAAGGCGGACAGGCCCATGAGGCCGAAACCCAGGCGGGTGACTTGGGGGCCATCGCGACCGAGAGGTGCAGTGGGCAGAGACATTATAGAAATCGTGAAGCTTGTATTCTCGTTGGTACTGAGTAGTGTTGGTGATTGTGATAGTTGGTTTTTGCAAGTGAAGTTGTCGTTATTTATGTTATTGTGGTTCAATCTGCTGAGTATCGACGGGAGTAGTGTCTTCCGGCGGATATAAGACAAGCTGCTGCAGAACTTCGACCGAGAGAGATTGTTAGTTGTTGGAGATGTAGGTTCTGGACGGACCAAGTCGGATGAGCTTGATCTTCGAGCACCTGGCGCGTACCCATAATCGCAATGACGCTGGCACTCCACACATAATGACGGACGACCCCGCCGTTAACTCCTTAACCCCGCTATTGATGAAATCATACCTATTCGTTGACACAGATACTGCCCAGCACTGCACATGCAGCTCGAATGTGAAGTTGTTTGAGCCTCTATGAAGATTTCTACGAACAGATCACGCCGACGACTGGGCTGACTGCACGACATGGTGAAGATCATTTGGTGTACCAAAGTGGGACGGAGTGATACGGAGATAAGGCGCCGGTACTCCGTTCGAGTGGTGATCTACTGTGGCTGGATGAGGACAGAGTCAGAACGAGAAGCCCAAGGCTTTCGGAATGTGTTACACGCTATGTCTTGTGTGGCTCGACGTTGAAATCCGAGAAGGGTCGACTGAAGTGTCGCTGACTGCGCAGCTGCCGGGCACTTCCCGCGAACCATCCGACAAGCGGATTAGCGTCCGTCAAACTTCACGACACCACATCTCCCTCCCCCACTATGGCGAACCGCGTTCGTAGCGCCGCCGCCACACTCAACAGTGGGAAAATGTCTAGATCTCAGACATCTCGCTCAGATTTCTTGGTTAGACACTGACACTTAGTGACGACCTGTTAAAGGTAACACAACATGACCGCTCAAGTACGCGACCTCAAGCCGCTCAACATTAGACCTGTTCAACATCAGGTCCACGACCCTCCCAAGACAGACCCTTTCGACTTCCATCACCACGATGACAAGATTCACATCCTTCTCTGCGCGTCAGGGTCGGTTGCGACCATCAAAATACCAAACATGATCAACGCGTTAGCGAAACATGCGAATGTACGGATTCGACTCATATTCACGGCTGCGGCGACCAGCTTCCTGCAGGGACAGAGCGGCGAACAGCCTTCCATGGAAGACATAGAAGCCCTGCCGAATGTAGACGGAATATACTTCGACGAAGACGAGTGGAGGGCACCATGGGTACGAGGCAACAAGATCCTTCATATTGAGCTACGGCGATGGGCAGACATTATGGTCATTGCACCCTTGAGCGCCAACGAGCTCGCTAAGATAACACAAGGCTTATCGGAAAACCTTCTGCTATCTGTTGTACGCGCGTGGGATACCACCGGTCTGATTGATCCGGTAAGGAGCATACCTGGCGTGCAATGGCCGCAAGATGAAGGTGGCATACAGAGAAAGAGGATATTAGTCGCACCAAGCATGAATACTGCCATGTGGTTTCAGCCTATCACGAAGAAGCAGGTGCTGGTACTGGAGGAAGAGTGGGGTGTGAAGAACGGGGGCTGGTTCGAGGTGCTGCAGCCCATGGAGAAAGAGTTGGCGTGCGGAGATATCGGAGGCGGCGCAATGAAAGACTGGAGGGAGATTGTGGAAGTGGTTGAGCAGCGTCTGGGCCTGACACCTTGATGACGCCCGAAATTTGCTCTATCAAGAGACATTCCTCTACGGTTCTGTGAACGCCGATATGTATGCTTTATATCCTACGTTATTCGAGCTACACTGCTGTTTCTAGCATGTGCAAGCGAGAAAAAGGAACGAAGTAGCAGAGGGCCGCACTCTACGCAAGCTTGGCGCTATATTCGTATACACAAGCGAGTGCCTTACAAAGAAGCTACAAAAGGAGAGTGGTTAACAAAAAAAAACTTACCAAGACAGAACTCTGATGGGCGCCCCTCACACGCGACCCATGGTGACGGACTCCTTATTCTCTTTCGCCAGACGATCGTTGTGCGACTCGGAGAATCTGGGCGTCTGCTCAGTCTCCCTTCTGTCTTTGGGAATCGAATCGGCGACCTTGATCTAGCAGAGCTGAGTGGGCTAATGCCCAAGAATGCCAAATCGGGTTCGATTCTTGATGAAAAACTTAAGAGAGCTCACGTATCTAGATCTAAACTTAGCAAGATGAAGATACAAAAGGTAGTGACAGTTGTGTGGCAGCGTTGATACTGGTATCAATATGTGTTGGGCGTTTGTTGTGACGGTCGGTGTTGTGAATACTGAGACCTGCGTTCACCTTGGTGACGAGGACCAAACGGGACTGAGACCGGATCGATGAGAGTGATAGAGCGTAGCATTATATGCGACTTTTTCATGCACACACTCTGACTTTGAAATTTGCTACAGCCACGTCTTCAAAACAACACCATTCGGCCGCACGCAGCCCAAACATACATCGCTGATGAACAAAGTGGCGCCTATACAGCACGTCGTAGACGCAAACGTCTCAATCACTAAAGGAGCCCATTTTGCTCTTGCAGACTTGAAGTAATCAATAGACAGTCGCTTCTCTTACCTACTTCTCGTTTTTCACTGATAAGGGAATAGATTTAAAGGACGAAAGCAAGGTTCAGTACCCTCCAATCAAACAGCTAATCGAACGTCACAAAGCGAGAAACGAGGAGTAAGATGGCGGATGGACGAGAACGCCTCGGAAACAGTACAGCGGCTCTCCTAGCCTATACTCGAACATTAAGAAACGAATAAAAGGCCGATTCACTGAACAGCATACCTCCGTCTAAATCACTCAATTCACCTCCGCACACCACTAACCGCATGGCCAGAACATTACGCACCGTGATGTCAAGCACGAAAACGTACTCCTTGGCTTTCACAGCAAGGTTAAGCTTATCGATCTCGAATACTCTGTACACACAGAGTCGAGATCCTAATCTACCGTTTGCAGCACACTGGGTCATCTAAGCCCCAAGGTCGCGGCCACGGTCCTGAAGCCCGGTACGATCAGAGGAGGGCATATCAAGGCAATCAATCAGTGGAATTGAGGGGTGTTGATGTACAAGCTGCTCGTGGGAAGATCGCTATTCGGAATGAAAGATATCAAGAAGTACGTGGAAAAGGACTGTGACCTTCAAAGGCAAAGGAACCGGAATCTCGAAGTATATCAGTAAGCTGGCAGAAGAGTCGGTTCGTCGAAGTAAGTGCTACACAACCAGCATGACAGATGTGCCGATTAAGGGTATGCTCTGACTTGGCTGCGTTTGCTGAACCCCGATGCGGCGAAGCGTATTAGTCTTGATGACGTTCTAGCACACCCTTGGATTATGGCTATATCACAAGGTCTGTCCACTCTGGTATATGATTATTAGGTCAGCTGTTCCAGCAAGCTACTCAATTTCCTAGAGCCCATGAAATGGCGTTGTAGTTGGGGGCCAAAACCCATGTTGATATGTACTTGGTCCGTCACACATCTATCTAGGACAGACGGGCTGAGTCTAGGGCTGATCACTGGTGGCCTAATCCTAGGATCACCTGTCAAGGCAACGTATGGAGCCTGTAGCCTGAGATCTATTCTGCACAGCTTGAAATAGCCACAGTCATCAAGCCATATAGACTGCCTGTTCCATAGCTTGCGCTGACCGGCGGAAGATCGATATTAGCGTCAGATGGTTTGATTAGTATAGAATGACTTTCAGGCTACCTACATAGGCTCTCAAGGTGTTATTATACCTGAATGTAGAGCACTCACGCCCTTACTTCGCAAGGGCGCCTCTTGTCACAAGGCGCAGTGTATCGTTATGTTCTCAAATCAGGGTATGTCAAAACGTAGTCTGATGTGCGTGCGAGACGTAAGATACACTTCTCACACGCGAAAGGCTTGGCATGACCTCAGGGGGATCCTCTGTCACAGGACAGCAACCTTCATCCATCACTCGCAATACCGGAACGCAGCACATTTGCACAAATCCCAACTACTCTTATTGCTCGCCATAACTTTTATAGAAACAGTAATCCGTCATAGTCCATACCGGTGAACAAAATAACCCCTCGTCACTCGTCTAACCATGCAGACGCGATTCTCCATTGGGCATTCGTCCGCGCCTCACTCTGAATCCTGCATATCACTGTGCCACACTTGGCACGCTACTGCTGTACAGCAAAAAGACACCTGGTATGGAGAAAAAGCTCATGCATGTAATGCTTGGTTGTCTGATTGGCGGTCAATCGTGCCTCAGTTTTTACGCAACACCAGTCCACCTTCCTCAGGAAACGCCTTGATGCAAATGCGCGTTTGAGCCAAGACCTAGATGGCGCGTCAATATGCGTGTTGCGGTAGCTTGTGCTGTATAGTACAGCAGATGGGCTTTGAACTTCGAATGGGCGGTGCGTGGAAGCGAAGTCTGGTAGGCTGTGGATTTTCAGCCCTAACAGCAGACTAGCCAACTCAAAGGCGGATGTCATCTGCGGAGATCCTGGCGCCAATCCCAATCGTCCCATTGCGGCTCAGGCCTCCCGAAAGCCTAGACTGAGGAAGGTAAAGCAACTTAGAGCGCGCCTTTTCTTGGTCCTATATGAGGCAGGCGACATCCTGCTGCCTTCCGATGAGACACCCAAGCTCTTGGGTTCTTAAGACCTCTACCGTCACTGCGTCACCTACCGCCTCAGTCTTCAGCTGCTTTGTTGAATTGCGTGTTTTGTTTTGCTTATTGCTCGAGTAGTGTCCAATAACCCTATTCCATTATTTTTCGGACAAGATCGCCCTCGGGGGCCCACGCATGTCATTATGCTGAAGAGTGCCTTGCTCTTGGCTTCAACGACCCTCGTCGCAGCACAATCTTCGTCCTCCGAGCCTTGCGCAGCTGCTGCCGCGGATCTAAGGCAATCCAGTTCCATCGAAGCACAGGTAGCCTTCGACTGTCTTGATTCCGTCCCAGTCGACGTCCAAGGAAACGCACAGCTTATTGATGAGTTGAAGCAGATATGGCAGTTCCAATCCGAGCTTGTGTGGTTGAAGAAACCAGGCGATGATTGGGAATTTGGACCCCTGGATATCGAAGCAGAACTGGATAGCGTGAAGGACAACCTCAACTCCTTCTCCAGTGAATATGCGGTTCAACTAGCTATTCAGAACATTACCATCCGTACTGGGAATTTCCACTTCAACTACAGGCCCGATATACTCACAGTGTTCGACTTCTTCAGACAGATCAATGTCGCTTCCATCTCGGAGGACGGCAAGGCACTTCCAAAGCTCTATGTGGCTGATGATGTTGCGAGTGTAGCCGAGGGCAGTTCAGACGTTTCCGAAATTACCGAAATCAATGGTCAGAACCCATACGATTTCCTCAAGTCCACTTCCTGGTCACAATACATCGATTCCGACGGTCTCATCAACGACATGCTGTCCAAAGGAGATACCGACAACCTTGGGAGTTTTATGAATCAAAGGAGATATGACGGGCCCAGCACTGATATCACATGGGCGAATGGCTCAACAGTTTCCATACCTAACGGCGCATCCTCAGACTATGCATCTATGTTCGCAGGTGTTACTGATGGACAGTCATTTTTCGACACATTCTGCACCGGCAGCTCCTCGCCCCTCTCTGCCAATACAAAGGCTGATTCGGGCTCATTTGACATTGCTCTGCCAAAACCAAAGATGCCTGCTGGTATCAGTCATATTATAGCGCCTAGCGCTCCTGGCCCAGTTCCCCGTATTCCCACCGGCGTCTACCACCGTCGCAACAAGCGTCAGACAATGACACCTACTTCTGGATCTTATGCAGAAAATGTTGTTGAGCAAGACTCAAGTGGAACAGTGGCTGGGTACTTTCTCAATGGTGATGGTTACGACGATGTTGCAGTTCTCAAGATTATCTCTTTCAGTAATCCTAGCGAGGACTTGAGTGAATCTGAGTTCTGCAACGAGTTTCAGGTAAGTTATTAGTGCATTCAATATGTGCGAGACATACACTGACCTTGCATTCTCCACACTGCAGGTTACGATTGCTTCATTTCTCAGCAAGTGCATGAGTGAGAACAAGCAGAAACTCATCATCGATTTACGCGAGAATGGTGGCGGTAGCACTAATCTGCTTCTTGATGCCTTTATGCAGCTTTTTCCGGAGATGGAGCCCTTCTCCGGGCAGCGTTACAGAGCCACTGATGCCTTTGTGAAGATTGGCGACGCTATCAACGAGATCAGAAGTGACCAGGTCAAAGCTAGAAGGTTTGCCCAGTATACTGAAGAAAGTATTGAGCAAAGCTATACATTCAGGTACTGGTCCTGGTGGCACTTCCGCAATGCGGATGGTGCGGACTTCGATGGATGGGATGACTTTAATGGCCCAGTTGAGTTGAATGACGACTCGTACACAAAGACGATGCGTTACAATGTGAGTACAGAAACCATTCTAGCTTAAATATACTCGATGCTAACACCAACACAGTACACTGATGAAGTGTCTATCCTCCCTGAAGGTTGGCGTTTCGTGAATGGTACCCGCCCAACTCCATTCAATGCATCCAACATCGTCATGTATACCGACGCTCTTTGCGGCTCATCCTGCGCCTCCTTCCATGAAGAGCTCAAGAACATCGCCGGCATCAAAGCTGTCACAGTTGGTGGCCGACCAGAGACTAAGCCTATTCAAACCGTGACCGGGTCC